TTGGGGGGGAAAATTTTGGAATTTTGGGGGGAAAAAGGGCCTTAAAGGTTGAAAAAACCCCAAATGAGGTGTTTTGTGGTGGGAGGAAGGTGGTGGTGGGGTGGTGTGAGTAGAGGGGGGTGGTGGGTGTGACTCTGCTGGCGCTCACTGGCGCGCGGACTCCACTCTCTACCCACGAAGGTGGCTTAACCCACTCTATGCCACAGGAATGGTGAAAACCACTCTTAGCATCCAACAGGGAGCACAAAGCGATATAGACAATACCTCAGAGGAACTTGGCTTACTTCTTACTGCGTGGCTTATATCTCTCTCGCAGCTGGGTTAGAAGCTGGGTTGGCTGACTGGCTTACCCCACGAGAATGGCTGACTGGAAGACGTGTAACGATGCACAAAGCACGGAGGAGCAGTTGGATGACAGGAGACAGGCTGGATGATAGGCTGACTGGCGTTCACTTCCACACCCATCCTGTGGGTGGTAGTCACCACATACCCATCCTGTGGGTGGTAGTCACCACATACCCATCCTGTGGGCGCTAGTCACCACCACCCTCCTATGGGGTGTCACCACATACCATCCGTGGGCGCTAGTCACCACACACCCATCCTGTGGGTGGTAGTCACCACACACCCATCCTGTGGGCGCTAGTCACCACATACCCATCCTGTGGGTGGTAGCCAAAAGATTACAGAGGTACATAATGGGTCCAGGGACTGAACACCAAAGTTATGATAGCTGAACAAGTTACGAAGGTAATGAACTCAGATCTGGTCATAATCATGACCAAGTTACAAATGACACTACTATATAGAAAGCCGCTTGTTATGGTGAACATTTCGGACAAATTAGGTCAGTTTTGTCCCAGGATGCGACCCACACCAGTCCACTAACACCCAGGTACCTATTTTATACTGATGGGTGAACATGGACAACAGGTGTTTTATGGAAACATGTCCTAATGTTTTCCAGCCGTACCGGGGATTCGAACCCCGGACCTCAGTGTGTGAGCTGAATTAAGGAAAGATTCTAGACTTCATTTTACGAAAGCAGACAAAGCAAATGAAATAGTAATTATGGAACAGGTAGATTATAGTGGAAAAATGAACATGTTATTAGAAGACGGAAACTCAGGCCCCCGTTAAGTTTGCCCGAAATACTATTCATACTAAGGGACTTTTTGCATGCACACCTAAATGTCACCAACCTCTATACAAACATTGTGGCTGAAGCTCTCGCTTCACACGGCGAGGGTCTGGGTTCGATTCCCAGCCAGGGTAGAAACATTGGGCGTGTTTCTTTACACCTGTTGTCTATATTCAACCATCAGTAAAATAGGTACCTGGGTGTTAGTGGACTGGTGTGGGTCGCATCCTGGGACAAAACTGACCTAATTTGCCCGAAATATTCACCATAAACAAGTGGCTTTCTATACAGTAGTATTAACTGTATTATTTTGTACTTCTCTGTATCATGTTAAAATTAACAAATAAATAAAAAATAAATAAATAAATTGATGTCAGCTACGACTGTATACCTTGTACATGTACTTGTAGTAAATAAAGATATATTATTATTATTATTATTATTATTATTATATTATATATTATATTATTATATTATTATTATTATTATTATTATTATTATTATTATTATTATTATTATTATTATTAATCTTTAGCTTAGTTTATTGTGAGTAAAGTAAGGTTTTCTGTGGTAGAGGTAGTGGGAAGTAGTATAAGCGAGGGTTTCCCAGTAAACACTCTCATTCTTACTGGTAACAAGTCTATATTTAGTCAACTATTGTGACAATTCACGAATATATATATTACTTTAGTGACAATTCAGGAATACTTATATCACAACTCTACCCTTTATCAACGGGGTATATACACCCTGGGGTGTTTATCTCTGTGTATATACACTGATATTTTTCTTTCATTTATCTTAGGTAATTTACAAATTGTTGCTATGTAAGACAGTTTTAATCCAAAATTGTATCAAAATACACGTACTTATTGAAGTATTGATGATGTCATTGTATAGGTATATTACGGCCTTAATAACCCGCTTGCAGTTATTAGGACATAATACCTAACAAGCTAATTAATAACATTTTTGTATCAGTAAGTAACTAACTTTTTTTTTTCGGGAGGATGCCTGCTGTATAGTCCTTGTGACTTAGCCCTTCTTTTTGATTATAATAATAATAATCGGGAGGAGGGGAGAGTTTATCCTAGGTAATTTACACATATGACTATGATAATTGTACATATGTGTGCCTGTGCATAAATGAACTTACTTATCTACGTGGAATAAATAGCTATTATACAGTTATTTTGTGAAATATCGATTTTTTTGTTTGCCATGATCAGCACAACTGATTATTATTATAATCAAAAAGAAGCGCTAAGCCACAAGGACTATACAGCGTCAGCACAACTGAGTCGATCAACACTGGTAATGGCTAGTCACCATGAACATTAATAAACACCAATTTGCTAAGTTAGGTTAAGTTACATTAGTATACTCTAGGTTGGTTTAGGTGAGTTGCATTAAGGTTGGTTACTTTCTTTGGTTATCCTGGGTGGCTAACCTTCCAGGTTAAAAAGCCAAAGAAATCTTAATCTTACATTTCTTACTATTTGCACAACATATTACTGTCTCAATGTAAAAACGTACTCGGGTTTTTTTTTTACATTTTAAACCCTATTTTATCATTGAAATCAGTTGGGTGGTGAGGAGACCTGTGTAGTGTGAGGATGTGCCTATTGAGTTTCCTGTGAGTGGAAAATAATGCATCTCTTCTGGGATAGTTTTACTAGCATGTATTCATACCCTGACTGTCTGTTGTAAATAACTCATAACCCCTTAAATTTGTTTAAATTCAACCAAAACTTGCTAAAATATAAGGCATTATGAATAATTTGAAACCACATATAAGCTACATTGGTATATTTGTGACTGAATTGATGTCTATAAAAAACTCATTGCAATTGTAAATAGTTCATTACCATTAATTTTGTTAGCTATCAAAACTAGGACTTGGTCTCTGGACCCATTATGTGCCCCTGTAATCTTTTGACTACTGCCCACAGAATGGGTATGGAGTGCATAATAGATATACGCTAAATAACTTTACAACAGGTGGAGGAGTAGCTAGGTGAGAGACATGGCAACTGACTGAGGAGAACAAGAGGCAGGGCAGCTCCATAATTTATATATAGGAGGGGCTTAAGAGAGGCAGTCTGGATGGAAGGGAGGTTATGAAACACATCTTAAAGCTGAGTTATTTTATTTATGGGTATTGGAAGGCTGGGAAAGATGAAGGGAGATGCTTCAGGCTCCTTGGCATTGCCACCGACATAAGGATAAGTAACAATACTGTGAGTAAACCAGAGGAATAACCCAGGAAGCTCCTCAGCGGCAGAAAGGAAAGGAACAGAGCTCAAGATTAAAAAGGAAGGATCGAGAAGTGGAAACTACTTATTCCTTTGCAATTGTCCAGGACAAATGTGGGATGACCATTGTAGCAATGGAAAGGGATGACGGTAAGATAAAAAAAATCACACATCAAAATTCATCACTAAAGGTAAGAATGTTGTTCTTGTTGAGGATTCCCAGATCAAGTTTATGGATAGGACTTTTTTCTTTTGAGATAGGAAGAGGAGGCAGAGGGGTGTATTTTCTTGGGCTGGTATGTCTGATATTGTAAGCTGACTTGACAGTATCATGTCTAGTAGTGGAATCAACCCTATTATCTGTCAGTGCTGGAGGCATTGATATTGGCAAGTTTGGAAGTGAGGACCAATCCTTTAGATTCATTAAGACAAAAGTACTGAATACCATCTTCAAAGCTGAGGGACTGATTACCTTATCTGCTGTGTACAGTACATAATTTCTGCATTGAACTGAAAAAGTCACTGGCTGATAAACCATCTTTAAACTAAAGATACTGTGGTGTTGCACGTGTCTAATTCATCAATAAATAATTTCAGTATTCAACTTTAATTGTATTCCAAAACAGAAATATTCCCAGTTACCATGGCATACCTGTAGATCATTAAACAGTCTGATCTAATTATCATTTTGCAATATAACTGATATTTCCAAGCAAACCACTTTAATTATCTTGATAGGCTAAAGCCTATTGAATCTTTCATAAGGGAACGCCCTTCAACGGGTGTCTTGATGCTGGTAAGGGGCACTTGCTTCCAGGAACTGTCAGACCCCAATAGGGAAAAAGTAATCATTTGACTTCATTTGGTTATCCTGCATTAATTTGCACATGAGTTACTATACAAGATGATTGTAAAAAATTTTACTTGTGTGTTGAACCTGAATAAAAACTCCCCATGAATATAATAATAATCCTAAGCAAATATGAAATAGATTTTGTTGAATTCTAGCCTGACAAATTCTTCCTGATTGTAGTCTATATATTGTTAAGACACATTTTAAATGTGTAATCATTTATAACAAAAAAAATTTTGTAATTAGTATTGAAGTTCATTATTGCTAAACTTTTCCTTGATTGAAACTGAACTTTATTTTTCATTCACCTAGTGCTAGGTGAACCTTTAAAGACAATTTAATTTGTACTCTGTATTTTGATATACAGTATAGGGGCATGTACCTTTGTTATATTGCATTCTGGTATTTATGCATTTTTGTCCATTTTTAGCCTCAATATAAATTTCTTTGCAGAAACTACCAAAAAAAAAAAAAAAAAAGGTTCAAATAACAAGATGTCTGAGGAGGATCAACAAGCAAAAAAGGTCACTGAAGAAGTCCCTGACCCAGAGCTTGAGAATTTATTGGATGGTTAGTTTCAGTTGTTGTAGTTACGATAAATTGTTACAGTATCCCAGTTTTTTCAGTTGTAAAACTGCTGACTGTGTATTAATTTATAATTTAAATTGTAGCAGCTAGTATTTTCCTTGTTCAAAGGTTATCTGGTATTACCCCTTTTTTCTCATTCCTTTTCTTGGTAGGATAATCCTCATATATATGTACCATCTTTCATTTATTATAATACTCCTATAAAAGTACAAATGCAAATCATTTATTTCTTTTCATGCAGTGCACTTCAGTGTATTTCTACATACTGAATTACAATATATACTCGAAGGGTATTCTAAAGAAATTGTGTTTAATTTAACAGATGCTTTGCTAGACTTCAATAAGCCACAGCCCCTCAAACCAGCTCCTGGCGAAGATTTGGCTTCAAAAGTAGCAGCTTTAGGAATAGGAGCGGCTACATCAGCGGGGCCGGATGGAGCAGCTGGCAACATTTGGTCAGAAGAATTCATCCAGCAGGCCACAACACAATTTGAGCAAACTATGCGTGCATTAATGGAACAACAACAAGGAAGTAAGTGGTGGCTTGTTAATAAATCTGACTTTCTGGTTTTGAGCTTCTTTGGCTAGTTTATATCAAAATCTACTTGCAGTTATTACTTAATTGTGATCAACACTTCCCTCAAAAAAAGTATGGACCATTTATACAAGTGGTCTGTTATCATATCCTTAACCCCTTCAGGGTCCAAGGCCCAAATCTGAAGTGGTGCCCCAGTGTCCAAGAATTTAAAAAAAAAAAAAAAAAAAATTATTTTTTCTTATGAAATGGTAGAGAATCTTTTTGTGAAGGTAATAAAACAAAAAGTACGAAATTTGATGGAAAATTGACGAAATTATGCTCTCGCGAATTTTGATGTGTCAGCAATATTTACGAATCGGCAATTTTTGCTGACTTTAACTCCCAGTTTAGGCCAATTACATTATTCCAGTCAACCAAATTCTTAGCTATTTCACTAATATTACTTCTATGCTATCGATTGAGCACAAGAAATCGCCAAGTCAACTGTTTCAACTACAAAATAAAGTGATCGGAAATTGTTAATTTGGCCAATTTAACACAGAGTTCAAAATATTCCAATTTCAAAATGGGGTCCAGAATAAACAATGTAGGTATTCCTGGAACTAAACTAACATTTCCTCTGTTCATTACTTACGTTTTGAGGCTTTACAAATAAATTCCATTTTGATTTTTTATTCACATAATGAATTTTTATTCACCCCAAAAAATTAGAAGACTTACTGTTAT